GGAACTAGCTCTTGTAGACCAGGCTGGCCTCGAACTCACAAAGATCCACCTGCCTCTGCCTCCCAAGTGCTGGGATTAAAGGCGTTCGCCACCACCGCCCGGCAATAAATAAATCTTAAAAAAAAAAAAAAAAAACGCAAACACTCCAGGCAGTGGTGGTGCACTCCTTTAATCCCAGTACTCAGGAAGTAGATGTAGGTAAATCTCAGTGAGTTCAAAGTCAGCTTGGTCTATAAAGCAAGTTCCAGGACAGCCAGAGTTGTTACACAGAGAAACCCTGTCTTGAAACTCCCCCTCTTAAAACAAAAAAAGACAAACATACCAGGTGGGATGGCACACACCTTTAATCTTAACACTGAGAAGAAAGCTAAAGCAGAAAGATCACATTGGGATTGAAGACCAGCATGGGCTACAGTAAGAAACTGTCCCAAAAAGTTCACATAGCAAAGATGTACAATTATCTTTCACATCTGGGATTTGAACATTTCATACCTCAAAAAAAAAAAAAAAAAAAACTGCCAGGCATGGTGGCATAGGCTTTTAACCCCAGTACTCAGAAGGCATATGCAAGTCAATCTCTGAGAATTCCAGGCCAGATTCTGTCTCAAAAAAAGAAAGAGAGAGAGAGAGAGAAAGCAAGCAAGCATACAAGACTGTAGTAGATTGCTACTACAATCCCAAACTCTTGATAGTTTCTGGCCAGTTGCAAGCAATCCAAAGCAGTGGCAAATTAAGGGATTCTGAGGAAAACACTGCACACGACAGAGCCAACCTGTTAAGCCTTAATGACCATGTGTCATTGCTCTCCTATTTGATGAACTCAGGTTGCACTGACGCATTGCATTAATCCACCAGAGAAGGGGTCTACTTCAAATCCAGACTTATTCACAGGGATTTTTGTCGTTACAGAAGGATCCCTGCTTCATCAATTGAAGTCACCAAAAGTTCCCAAATAGCATACAGAAAACACTTCAGACTACTGAATATAAACAAGAACAGACACTTTCTTCCCCAAAACCAGACATTTTCTCAAAAAACAATTTCCTTTCCATGCTTAATAAAAAGCAAGTGAATTGTAACTGTGTGGTATCATCTTGGTAGGATTTTTCCTAAGCAACACAATAGGTGGACAGTTTTATGCCAGAACTAGATTTGGAATCTGGGGTATATCTTTTTTTTTTCTCCTTTCCTTTCAATATGCCTCAGAAAGTGCTTGGTATTGTATGTTGACATCTAAGGACACTGGGTTGTAAGTCCTGCAAAGGTCTGAAAAACAAAGCCATTTATGGCTCAAGCAGCTGTTTTCATCAACCAAACCTATTTGGTTTTTCTCAGTAAGTCAAGCAGCATGAGACTCCTGAGCTAGTGCAGAAGGGCTGCTTGTTAGCAAGTCTCTTAATAGGGTGGCTGTAACACAGAATGTGCTCCAGTCTAAAGACTAGTACAGCACAGCTGTTTCCCTACACAGCTCGGAGAGCAAGAAAGAAAACAATCAGTTAAACTGAGGTAAGAGGTCTGTTTGGCAAACAGCATGTATAGTTCACTGCTTAAAACAAGGAGAGCAAGCAGTGGTGGCTCACCAGGCCAGGCTGATCTACAGAGAGTTCTAGGACAGTCAGGAATACACAGAGAAACCATGGGGGGGGGGGGGGGGATCCTGAGACATCATCATAGATTAAAATTTTACAGGCATCAACGACACCTTTTCAACCCTGCTGCTGTGCTCTTTCTAGATAGGACTGACTAGTGGAACCAAGAGAGGTGATAAGAGACTCCATTGCCCACAACAAAGAGAGGTAAACACACAGACTTTATGCCTAAAAGTCTCTAATTTGATATAAAACAGAGGATGATAACCTTGAACACCTGATCCCTTGCTCAGGATAAAAGGCCTGAACCAGTTTTTTTGTTTTGTTTGGATTTTTTAGTTGGGTTTTGTTTTTTGTTTGTTTGTTTGGTTTTTTGAGACAGGGTTTCTTTGTGTAGCTTTTGAACCTACACTCGCTCCTCCATAGCCCAGGCTGGCCTTGAACTCAGAGATCCTGTCTGCCTCTGCCTCCCAAGTGCTGGGGTTAAATGTGTGTACCACCATTGCCCGGCTCACTGGTTGTTGTTTTAAGAAACGGTTTTAACTCAGTAGCTCTAGTTATCCTGATTTGTTCTAGCTATCCATGCTGCCTCAAACTGTCACAGTCCTCTGTTTCCCGAGTGTTGGGATTACAGTCACGAGCTCAGGGAACAGACTTGTAATTTAGAGCCGTGAGGGTCAGAAAAACTTCCTCATACGTCTGTCTCCCTATGACCCTATCCTAAACACAGTTTAAGATAGCTCTGCTTCTAAAACAAGTATTTAAAGTAGCGTCTATTCCAACCCTGTTGAGACGGTATCTAAACAGGAAGTTAACAGACATGACACAGTCAGAGGAAGCAAACCACACTGCCATAAAGATGGATGCTGCTGTCAAGCACAAATCACTCTCACCTCATTAAAAATGTTCTGAACTAAAGAACAGGTAGCATGAAAGTCTAAAAACCTCATCTCTTCTCAAACTAGGTCATTCAACCTACAGGTCCAGCCTTCTGATTCCTATTAATACCTACCTACCTCTCTCCACAATGACTTTCACTGGTACCAGACTGAAAAGTCTATCATCAGTCTTACCCGACCAACAGTCAACATGAACTATTTATATATCTACCTTCTTAAAAAGCCTAAGCAAAGTCTAAGCCCGACCCAGACCAGTTATCTGTGGTGGACTAACAGACTGCCAACAGGTAAGTCTTCCCTCAAAATGAGCTTAACCCCACCACTATCTTTGATATCACCCGAAGATGCCTCCTTACCAATCAAAAACACAAACAAATGTTACTACTATTCTAGAACATAATTCTGTGTGTGAGAGAGAGAGAGAGACAGACAGAGAGACAGACAGACCGACTGACCCTGGACATGGAGTTATAGACATTCATGTGGGTGCTGGGAATTGAACTTGGGTCCTCAGGGAAGAGCAACCAGTACTCTTAATCACTGAGCCTTCACCAGTCTCCCTCTAGGACTTTTAATTTAATTTTTTGTTTTGTTTTTCAAGACAGTGTTTCTCTGTAGCTTTGGAATCTGTCCTTGAACTAGCTTTTGTAGACCAGGTTGGTCTCGAACTCACAGAGATCCCCCTGCCTCTGCCTCCCCAGTGCTGAGATTAAAGACGTGTAACACCACCACCCTGATCTAGGACAATTCTTATCAAGACTTCTCCCACACCAAAAATATAAATTAAAGTGGCTATCAGACTTCAAGGAGGGGCGGTCGTGGCATGTGCCTATAATCCCAGCACTTGGGAGGCAGAGTCAGGTGGATCTCTGTGAGTTCTAAGCCAGCTTGGTCTACGAGAGCTAGTTCCAGGACAGGCTCCAAAGCTACACAGAAACCCTGTCTCTAAAAAACAAAAATAAAAACAGATTTCAAGGAAGAATTTAAATCCACGTAGTAAAGAAACAGCAATAAAAGAAAACACTCAATTCTCAAACAGGATGATCTCCAACAGCATACAGACACTATAGGGATGCCAAGAAGGACGTCAGTATCGTGCTGCAGGGGGGACACTGGATGGCTGAAGGACAGAGGTGGGAGGGGAAGGTTTATTTTCACTTTGTACCACATTCATCCGTTGCTACTCAAATTATAAATTTCTAGAAAATAAAAATGTCCTAAAACTACAAAAGCACCAGCTCTTCTCCAACCCACATGGTTTGTAAAATCTGCTTTTACTCCAGCATCAAGCTCAAATTCAAATCTTTTGGATACTGGCATGAAAACACTGCCTCCTTGCTAAAATAGGTTTTAATTGATATTATTCCCACCTCTAACACACACACACACACACACAAAAGTCCTTCAAGTAATCATTTACCAGATGAGAAAACTGGTTCTCAGGAAGCGACCTTACTTTCCAGAAGAGAACAGGGAAACACTGTTAACTTCGGCATCCACAGGCTACCCACCAGTAAAGCCTCCATCTCCACCTCAGTGCCAGGCCTCACGAGCTAACATCCTAAGTTTGAAGGGAATTCGGTGCTGGGGATGCACTCAGAAGGCACTATACCTTTACAAAGTGGGGAAGCTATCCCGGGACAGCGATGAACACCTAAATCCCCACGTTCACGGGAGTAACTAGCTTCTTCAGAAACTGAGCTCAAGGAGGCAAAAAGTACTCTAAGTTCTGGTTTGGTCGGGAAAGGTAAGTTCCAGTTCCATCAACCCGCAGGAACGAGCTGGAAGAAAACCAGTGTGTCCGAGAAGCCCAGCTGAGCAAATGGGTAGTTTAGTTGCTTTACAAGGTAAGTAACCCACACAAGTCAGGACAATTTCCTTTTCCTACGGAGGGCAAGGGAATGGGGGACGACGAAATAAAGGGGTAGGTTCTGCACTCCTGATCCTTTCCCCAAATAAAGATAATTATTCTGTGCTCCCTTCACCCTTAAGAATCCCTCTTTCGTCCCATCCGCCGTCAAACACAAGACTCAGTGCAGGGCAGGGAGCGGCCCCCGCACCCTGAGGGCACCATTGGGGGCGGAGAGTTAAAAACACGGAGGGGAAGACGCTCCGGTGGAAAAGAGGGGAGCATGGCGGGCATGAGGTACTGAGTGAAATGGGGGATGGCGAGGGAAACGGGGAGCGAGGGAGGGGAGAAAGAGTAAAAGGAGACACGAAGGGACAGCAGCCGGGTCGCGCGAGGCGTAAGTGAAAGACCCGGGCGCGCGCGCGGAGGGGGAGGGGAAGAGGTGAAGGGGAGCGCGAGGCGGGGGCGCGCGGGCCGGGCTGGGGGAGGGGACGCCAGGCGGGGGCGCGCGGGCGGGCGTCGGCTCGCGGGCGCTTCCCCTCCCCCCGCCCTCCACCTTTCCCTTCCCCCACCGCCGCCTCCTCGCAGCCTCGCTCCCTCCGTCGCTCCCCACCGCCCCCGGGCGGGCTGGCGGCCAGGCTGGCCTAGGCCAGAGCTCCTCACCTGGCAGCGGCGGCGGAACTCCCGACTAGGTCGCCTCTACAGGCGGCGGCGAAGGCGTCGAAAAAAGAGGCGGCGACGGCACAGTGGGATCCAGACCCCACTGGTGGGTCCAGGAACGGGGGTGGGGGAGGGGGCGGGCCGGGTCGGGGAGGGCGGGCGGGCGGAGCAGACACTGCGGTACAGACAGGGGCAGCAGCGGCGGCGGCGGCTGCACCGGCGGCGGCGGCACCACACAAACAAGGACGCTGATTGGGCAGCTGCCAAGCGCCTCGACTCCGCCTTAACCACACGCCACGACGCCCATTGGAGGACTCTAGCCGGCTACCCGCCCTCTTCGTCTTGCTCGTACCAATAGAAAGCGGGATACGGAGACTTCACCCCACCCTTGAGGAGTGGGTGGCTGGAGAAGTAGTGATTGGCGTCAAGAAGACCCAATCAGAAAAGAAGAAGGGGGATGGTCTAGCGGGGGCGCGTTAATGGGTACCTCGGCCAGTCCCAGACACATCCGGGTCTTCGACAGCCCATTAAGTGTCGGGGGTCAAAAAATCGCTTCAGGCTGTAACTTTACCTTGGAGACGTTTTGGTCCCCAGGCAGCCGCCGTACCACCTAGTCTCTTAAAAAACCGGGATTCTCCTTTGGCCAGCACTCATTCTTTCACGTCTAAAGATGGAGACTGGGATCGGTGCGGTGCTCTGCGTTTGGGTGGGTGGTGTTTCATCGCGACAGAATCCATGAATTTAAGGACAGAACTTGCTTTAGGGGCTCGGGCCTTGTCTCTCTGGGGTGTGGCCTGCCTTATGCTGCCAAGGCCTTGGGCTCCTGTGTTAATTTACTCCTGGTCGGTCCTTAATTGACTGTACCATAACAGCAGGAAAAAAAAATCAAAACCTAACAATTCGCTAAATGCACTGATAAATTACGGTGTTCATAGCGTGTTCTCTGGGATCTGGTCTTTTTCTGTTCACAGTGAGCAGACAGTTTCCCACCCCACCCGACTGCAGTAGCCAAATCAGGGCCCAGCTTCTCTTGCTAGCCTGGCGACCTCCTCCTACTTCCTCGAAGCAGTTAGGCCCGCCTACATTCAGCGTTTTTGAGCACTTAACCATAAGTATTCATTCGAGCGCCTTAGAGATGAGAACTAATTATCACAAAAATAAGCATGTTTAAAGAATAATATTTCGGGAAGCCAGAGATTGTGTGCGTGGCACTGTGCTGAGAGCTTCAGATGAATTATTACTCTGAGAAGTAGGTAGTGGTCATACAGATGAGGGAAATGAGGTGTAGATCGAAAGACTTTCCAAAACTACTCACTCATGTGGCAGAGTTGGAATTTAAGCCTACGTGTATTGAAGTGTAAGAGATTAAGCCATTTGCCAACGGTAGACTGCTAACCACCAAGCACTGGTTAAGAGCCAGAAATAACTAGTTCCAGAGACAGTTGAACCTTTTTGTTTTTTCTTGGTTTTGTGTTTTTATTGTAACAGAGTTTCTCTGTGTACTCCTGGCTGTCCTGAAACTCATTCTGTAGACCAGGCTGACCTCAGACTCAGAGATCTGCCTGCTTCTGCCTCCGGAGTGCTGGGATTAAAGTTGTTCATCGCCTTTACCACCACTACCACCACCTGGCTAGAACACATTTTTTAAAATCACTATGGAATTGTAAGGCTGGCACGGTGGTACACAGGGGCAATCACGGGACTTGGGGCTGAGGCTTCGGGTTAGCCTAGACTAAGTATGAAAACGCTGTTTCAAAACTTTTTTAAATGGGTCCTCAGTGACCTAAACACTTGCTGCTCTTCTAGAGAATCTAGGCTCTGTTCACAGCACCCGTGTGCTAGTTCACTACCATTTTGTTAACTCCACTTGAGAAGAAGCCCTCCTCTGACTTCCCTGAGCACCAGACACTCACATTATGGTACATATACATATATGCAAGCATAAAATAATTTGTTTGTTTGTTTTGGTTTTTTTTTTTTGATTTTTCGAGACAGGGTTTCTATGTGGTTTTGGAGCCTGTCCTGGAACTAGCTCTTGTAGACCAGGCTGATTGTTTTGGTTTTTGAAACAGGATTTCTCTATGTCGCTCTGGCTATCCTGGAACTCACTCTGTAGACCAGGCTGACCTCGAACTCAGATTTCCAATCCGCCTGCCTCTGCTTCCTGAGTTGCTGGGATTAAAGGCATGTACCACTACTGCCCGACCTCAAAATAATTTGTTTCTTTTTTTTAAGACCAGACTGGCCTCAAATTCACAAAGATCCGCCTGCCTCTGCCTCCCGAGTGTGGGATTAAAGGCGTGCGCCACCACCGCCCAGCTAATAATTTCTTTTAGTACCTAAAATATTTTCCTCATTTTTTTTTTAAGTTGGACTGGGAAATATAGCTAAGTGGTAGAATACTAGTCAGCATGTTCAAACCTTAGTAATGCAAAATATATAGATAAATAAAAAATTTAATAAAAAATTATGATGGAGAAGGACAGTGGTGGTGCATGCTTTTAATCCCAGCACTTGGGAGGCAGAGGGACGTCTATGAGTTCGAGGCCAACCTGGTCTGATAGGAATAAGAGCACCTCCTCTGGCGCAAGAAATCCAATTAGGCCAAATCAAACCAAATCGAAATGCCCATCATTTTTGTTTGTTTGTTTGTTGTTTTGGTTTTTCATGACAGGGTTTCTCTGTAGCTTTGGAGCCTGTCCTGGAACTAGCTCTTGCAGCCCAGGCTGGCCTCAAACTTAGAGATCCACCTGCCTCTGCCTCCCGAGTGCTGGAATTAAAGGCGTGCGCCACCACCGCCAGGCCCCATCGTTTTATTAAGAATGACGGTCTTTGGTGGCGCACGCCTTTAATCCCAGCACTTGGGAGGCAGAGGCAGGTGGATCTCTGTGAGTTCGAGACCAGCCTGGTCTACAAGAGCTAGTTCCAGGACAGGCTCCAAAACCACAGAGAAACCCTGTCTCGAAAAACCAAAAAAAAAAAAAAAAAAGAATGACAGTCTTAGGTAGCCCTACCCGAGCGCTGGAAGGGAGACAGCACAGCAGGGAGCCCGTGGGGGGGGGGGGGCAAAAACCACGTGTTCCTCCTCTAGGAGGCCCCTTAAATACCCTGTGGGAGTGGTATGCTGAGATTTGGAGTCCAGAGCAAAGCAACTCCCAGGCCAGGGGCTGGGACTATGCTCCCAGCTTAACAAGGTCTACAAGAGCTACAGTGAAAGCCCATCTCAAAAAATAAATATATATATATGATGGAGCCTGGCTGCACACCTTCAATTCCAACACTTGGGAGGCAGAGGCAGGCAGATCTCTGTGAGTTCATGGCCAGCCTGATCTACATAGCAAGTTCCAGGAGAAATAGTTCTACACAGAGAAACTATGTCTTGAAAAACAAAACAAAGAAAAACATATATAGATCCACCTGAAAATTGGAAACAGACAAGATTGCCTGACAAAATTGGGAACATGGGGGTAATGGGGTAGAAGGAAGGGGAAAGGGGGAAGATAAGGGGATAAGAGAAGGGTTGAGGAGAACTTGAGGGAATGGGATAGTCGAGATGGAGGAAGGACAGATATGAGAACAAGGAAAGAGATATCTTTTTTCTTTTTTTTTTAATATTTATTATGTATACAGTATTCTGTGTGTATGCCTGCAGGCCAGAAGAGGGCACCAGACCTCATTACAGATGGTTGTGAGCCACCATGTGGTTGCTAGGAATTGAACTCAGGACCTTTGGAAGAGCAGGCAATGCTCTTAACCACTGACCCATCTCTCCAGCCCCGGAAAGAGATATCTTGATTGAGGGAGCTATTATGGGGTTAGCAAGAAACCTGGCTCTAGAAAAATTCCCAGGAATCCACAAGCATGACCCTAAGCAGTAGAGGAGAGGGTGCCCCAACTGGCCTTGCCCTGTAGCCAGACTGATGATTACCTTAAATATCACTATAGAGCCTTCATCCCACCACAGATGGAAACAGAGGCAGAGACCCGACTGAGCTCCCAAGGTCCAGTTGAAGAGTGGAAGGAATGAGAATATGAGCAAAGAGGTCAAGACCATGATGGGTTCACACACTGAAACAGTTTACCTAAGCTAATAGGAGCTCACCAACTCCAGCTGGACTGGGAAGAAACAAGCATAGGACCAAATCAGTCCCTCTGAATGTGGTTGACAGTTGCATGGTTGGGGCAGACTGAGGGGCCACTGGCAGTGGCACTGGGATTTATCTCTACGGCACGTACTGACTTTTTGGGATCCTATTATTCTCTTTGGATGTATACCTTGCTCAGCCTAGATGTAGTAGGGAGGACTCTGGACCTTCCACAAAGCAAAGTGCCTTACCCTCTCTCAGGATTAGATGGGCATGGGGTGGGAGGGTGTGAGGAGGGAATAGGAGGAGGGGAGGAAGTGGGAATTCGGATTGGTATTTTTTTTAATCTAATAAATTTAAAAAAAAAAAGAAAAACAGCCGGGCGATGGTGGCGCACGCCTTTAATCCCAGCACTTGGGAGGCAGAGGCAGGTGGATCTCTGTGAGTTCGAGACCAGCCTGGTCTACAGAGCTAGTTCCAGGACAGGCTCCAAAGCCACAGAGAAACCCTGTCTCGAAAAAACCAAAAAAAAAAAAAAAGAAAGAAAAGAAAAAGAAAAAGAAAAAAGAAAAACAAAACAAAAAAGATATGTAGGAAGAAAATAAAAAAGAACAAACTCGGAAACCATAGATAGAGCCTACAAATATGCAGGTACCAATATGTTTGTGCACCTATGCATCTGCGACATCAGAGGTCATGGGGACTCTTCCAAAGTTGTTCACCTCATTTTTTTTTTTTTTTTTTTTTTTTTTTTTTTTTTTTTTGGTTTTTCGAGACAGGGTTTCTCTGTGGCTTTGGAGTCTGTCCTGGAACTAGCTCTGTAGACCAGGCTGGTCTCGAACTCACAGAGATCCGCCTGCTTCTGCCTCCCAAGTGCTGGGATTAAAGGCGTGCGCCACCATCGCCCGGCTCACCTCATTTTTTGAGTCAGAGTCTCACTGAACCCAAGACTGCAGAGTGAATCTGAGGGAGAACCAAGCCCTAGGGATCCTGCTGTCTCCTGTTTCTCCTCAGCTATAGGATTACAGATGCATACAAGCCCAACTCAGGCGAATGCTGGGGATCGGAATGCAGGCACCATACGCAGCACCGAGTGCTCCAGCTCCGCAGCCCGCCGCTTGTCACGTACTCACTTATGTTTTCCGTGTGAGTGTGTGTGTGTGCGTGAGTGAGCATGTGTATGAGTGTACGGGCCCATGCTCTGTGTTCCACGTATGAGGTCACGGGACAATTTATAAGACTCAGTCCTCTCTTTTTATCATATGGATTCCAGGAATGGAACTCAGACTCCCAGACTTCATGGCAAGTACCTTGACTTTGTGAGCCATCTTGCTGTACCCTCATTTTTTTTTTTTTTTGAAACTGGAACTCACTCTGTAGTCCAACTTGGTTGGCCTTGAACTTGTGGCAATCCTCCTGCCTCAGCCTCCCAACTGTTGAGAATACAATACTGAGCTATTACACCTGGACCATACACCTGATTCTTATTTTAAAGTAAAACAAACATACAAATGTTTGCAGTCTAGTATTGAATCCAAATGAATAAATAACATGACCTTGAGTTATTAGGTTTAGAATCTTGGGTCTGATCTTGGGTCTGATCTTGGGTCTGCATCTTACTAGTTCTATGATTGTTGTATGTGTACAAATTACTTTTTGGGGCAGGCGGCGGTGGCACACGCCTTTAATTCTAGCACTTGGGAGGCAGAGGCAAGCAGATCTTTGTGAGGTCAAGGTCAGCCTATTCTACAGAGCTACTGCCAGGACAGGCTCCAAAGCTACATAGAGAAACCCTGTATCAAAAAAAAAAAAAATCCTTTTTTATTATCAATGCCCTTGTTTGCCCATTTGTACAATGAGAATGCTAAATATAACTCATATGGTATTGTAAAATAACACATCTTAAATATTCAGGGCAGTGCTGAGAACAAGAATGTAATATTTGGGACTGGAGAGGGCTCCACAGTTAAGAACACCATTGTTCCAGAAGACCCACTTCCTGGCCCCCACATAGCAGTTCATACCATCTAGAATTCAGGGGGCTGATGCCCTCTTCTGGCCTCGTCAAGGACCAGGCACACATGTGGCACACAGGAACACATGTAGCCAAAACACTCAAGCACACAAAATTTTATATAAAAGAATGTGATATTTGATACATATAGTAATTAGGAACTATGAAAAATTTTCTAATGTTCTAGCAATTTCACAATCTCAGCTTCAAAGTCAGCTTGTTTATGTTCTAACTCCATCTTCAGATTTTGCTGACTCTTTTGAGTCACTAAACACGTGATAAAACACCTAGTGTACATCTTGTGTTTGTGGTTAGCAGAGTTTTACACTAAGACAGGCACTTGCTCCTGTTATTCCATTTGGTGGGGGTATTGCAGGCAATGACACAAAACCATTGTTCTTACAGAATAAATTCTTTATTAATTTGTAGGTGGTGGGGCGAACATGCCACTATGTGGATGTGGATGTCAGAGGACTCTGTGGGTGTCAACTCCCTCTTTGCTTCATGTGGATCCTGGCTATCAAACTTGGGCCCTTGGGCTGGTCAGGAACCTCTACCTGCTGGGCCACCTTGAATAAATTCTTTTTTTTTTTTTTTAAAGATTTATTTATTATGTATGCAATATTCTGTCTGTATGACTGCAGGCCAGTAGAGGGCACCAGACCTCATTACAGATGGTTGTGAGCCACCATGTGGTTGCTGGGAATTGAACTCAGGATCTCCTGAAGATCAGCCAGTGCTCTTAACCTCTGAGCCATCTCTCTAGCCCCCTTGAATAAATTCTTAACTACGAGCTTTATCCATCGTCACTAACTGCTGTCTGAAGGACCGGACCATCCTCTGGAATCCTTTATCCATCATCACTAACTGCTGTCTGAAGGAGCAGGCCGTCCTCTGGAATCCTTTATTCTTCTGTCATACCACAGCCTGCCTTCCCTCTACTCCAGTCCTTCCCCCACCTCTCCCAGGACCACCCCTTCTTTGCCTCCCCACCCAAAAAAGAGCAAGCCTCCCAAAGACATCAGGCAGGCAAGGGCACAACAAGGTACAATGATACTAGGCACAAAATAAACAAAGGAGACAATAACAATACCCTACAGCAGGGCTGAATGAGGCAACCCAGCATAAGGAAATGAATCCCAAGAGCAGGTAAAAGAGACACCCCACCCACCCCATAAGGTTTATCACCTTGATCTGAGGACCTTGGAATGCCACAACAGACCTCACACAGTGGGGGGTCATGAAAGGCCTAAGTGGGCATGAGAGAGGGAGAGAGAGGACCACAATGGCAAGGGTTTTTTTGTTTTTTGAATTTTCGAGACAGGGTTTCTCTGTAGCTTTTGGTTCCTGTCCTGGAACTACCTCTTGTAGACCAGGCTGGCCTCGAACTCACAGAGATCCGCCTGCCTCTGTCTCCCAAGTGCTGGGATTAAAGGCATGCGCCACCACCGTCCGGCCAGCCCAGCTCTCTTTTAAGTAGTTTTGTGGATTTTATTTTATTTGAGACAAGAGTGGTACTAATATACCCAGATTAGCCTGGTACTTCATATGGAGACTAGGCAGACACCTAAAAACTTGTAATCCTGCTACCCAGCCTCTGGAGTAGCTGAGGTCACAGGTCTGAAGCACCAGGTCCAACTTTCATGCAAATTATATAATTCTTCTTTAAATGACAAAATATCCCCTTCATTATTTTCACACAAAGAAGAGCTGAGACACAGTGGCAATATGTCTGATTAGCAAACAACAATGATTCGCCTCAAATCTGTTGTCTTTGGTCTGTATATTCCAAAGTGTGGAGAGAGAAGTTGAGTCCAGTGATTTGAGAATATCCTTGCCCTCAATACAACTTCTAAACCACAGTTATCCCTTTAGTTAAGAACCCCTGTAGTTCTCTCTGGAAGACTTATTAACTCCAGCACTCAGAGGGAGGGAGTCAGGATCTGATGATCATCATCAGGATCAAGGTCATCTTGACCACGGAGCAAGTTCAGGGCCAGCCTGAACTCAGAAGAGTAGTCTAGACCAGTCAGACTCTGCAGTCTCTAAGTGATGGTGGCCCATGCCTTTTAACTCCAGTACCCTAAAATTAGAAAAATGATGCCTAGGGAGGCTGAGGCAGGCGGATCTGAGTTCAAGGCCACCCTGGTCTACAGAGTGAGTTCCGGGACAGCCAGGGCTACACAGAGAAAACCTGTCTCAAAAAACCAATAAATAAACAAACAAATTAAATAAATAAATTCTAAAAACTATTTTGCTATATCCCAGTGAAGAATGCTTAGCATACTTTAATCAGAAACTTATTTTAAGAGGACGCATGAAGGCTACGGATATAGTTCAGTGGTGGAGTTTAGCATTCAGAAGGCCCCAAGTTCAATCTCTGCTTTAAAAAACGTGGATGGAGGGGCTGGAGAGATGGCTCAGTGGTTAAGAGCATTGCCTGCTCTTCCAAAGGTCCTGAGTTCAGTTCCCAGCAACCACATGGTGGCTCACAACCATCTGTAAAGAGGTCTGGCACCCTCTTCTGGCCTTCAGGCATACAGACAGAATATTGTATACATAATAAATAAATAAATATTAAAAAAAAAGTGGATGAAAGCCGGGTGGTGGTGGCACATGCCTTTAATCCCAGCATCCGGGAGGCAGAGGCAGGCGGATCTCTGTGAGTTCGAGGCCAGCCTGGTCTACAAGAGCTAGTTCAAGGCTATCCTTTTGGATACCTTTTTTGGATGAACCAAAAAAGCTATGGAGAAACCCTGTCTCAAAAAATCAAAAAACAAAAACAAAAAAAACATGGATGGACAGGGGCTGGAGAGATGGCTCAGAGGTTAAGAGCACTGACTGCTCTTTCAGAGGTCCTGAGTTCAATTCCCAGTAACCACATGGTGGCTCACAACCATCTGTACTGAGATCTGGCGCCCTCCTCTGGCGTGCAGGCATACATGGAGGCAGAATGTTGTATACATAATAAATAAATAAATCTTAAAAAATGGATGGACAGGGCTGGAGAGATGGCTCAGTGGTTAAGAGCATTGCCTGCTCTTCCAAAGGTCCTGAGTTCAATTCCCAGCAACCACATGGTGGCTCACAACCATCTATAATAAGGTCTTGTGCCCTCTTCTGGCCTGCAGGCATACATGTAGACAGAATATTGTATACATAATAAGTAAATAAATAAATATTAAAAAAAAAGGATGGACAGCTGGGATGTAGCATAGGTTCAGAACAGGGTAAAAACCTTTGCCTAGTAGGTATAAGGTCTTAGATTTCATCACCAGTAAAACACACAAACACACACAGACATGCACACACAATGTGGTTTGATTAGAAATTGGGCACAATAAGAGTAAGACAATTTATTTAATTTTATTCTTTATTTTTATTATTAGTTTTTTTTGTTTTTTTGTTTTGTTTTGTTTTTTTGTTTTTTGATACAGGGTTTCTCTGTGTAGCTTTTGGTTTCTGTCCTGGAACTAGCTCTTGTAGACCAGGCTGGCCTCAAACTCACAGAGATCCGTCTCCCTCTGCCTCCCGAGTGCTGGGATTAAAGGCATGCGCCACCACTGCCCGGCCCCTTTATTCCTTCTTTATGCCTTTAGGACACTGGAAAAACATCCTCAGGAAAGAATGGGAAGGATTCTTTGACTACTAAGTCCTAAGAATTAGAAGTAATGCTTAAAAAAAAAAAAAAAAAAAAGACAGGGTCTCACTAAAGTGCCATAGCTAGCCTGGAATTCCTAATATAATATAGACCAGGCTGGCCCAGAGCTCACAGAATGCCTGCCTCTAAGCAGATGGTAGGATTAAAAGGTGTCCTCCCAACCCTAGCCTGAGTTACTTCTTTGGCCACTCACAACTCCTAGGGATTTGCACTGACATTTTATGTAAATCCTGTCCTCCAAGGTTGCCCCTGCCCTTCTTCCCCAAGGCATTTGTTTTCTTAGCTCATTCCCTTTGGTAACTGGTTCTGTAGCTCCTAGGAGTTGCTTCCTGTGTTTATTTCATTACACAAGAAAAAGAGAGAAAATTCTAGATGGGCCTGAGATTAGAAAAATGATGCCTGAGGAGCTAGATAGACAGCGCAATAGTTAAGGTTCCAGCACCCGCATCAGGCAGCTCACAACTGCCTGCTCCAAGGGATCCACAGTGGGTACCTGCATATTTCACACACGCACACATCCACACAAGTATGCATGCACACAATTTTCAAGTTTAAAAGGAGTTGAAGACTGGAGATATACAGCTCAATAGTTAAAAGCACTTGCTTCTCTTGCAAAGGACCTGAGTTCTGTTCCTAGAATCCACATGGTGACTCTAGTTCCAGGATATTCAACACCCTCTTCTGGCCTCTGTGGGTACTGCATGCAAGTGGTATACATGTATATTCTACAACATGCACAGAACCCACATATACACATAAAATAATCTAAAAAATAAACTAAGGAAAAATGATGCCCATCTCCCTGGCACTCACACACGGAAGACTTTTACTCCTTGCTTCTTTCTTTCCATTGTTGTCTCTAAGGTTAGATCACAGTGAGGAGCACTGTCTGGAGCTAGAGCCACTAAGGAGAACTGGGAGGACGGCCAGAGCTTCTGATACACAAGAGGGCTGGAAATGGCAACAAGTGAGGAGAGCTATCATCTTTGTGAAGGTACAGAAGAAGCTGGGGTCAGGGAGGGGACAGGAGGAGAGGAAATAAGGCAAAGATGAGCTCAAGGCCCCCAGAGAATGGAGTCTTTGTGTGGGGTACAGATGAGGGACAAGGAGGTGATTGTGTGGGAGGGCCGGAAGTGCCACGCAGGCTGGCACCACCATAGCCAGCACTGGATTCACCCTTCTGCGCCAAGAGCTTCCTATAAACCAAGTTGCAAGGATATACCTGATGGTTACAAAGAAAGGAAACACAGCAGAGAGAATGTGCAGCAAGGAAAGATAAGGTACCACCCCAAATCCAGAGAACGGGAGGCAGAGGGAAAAAAGACAGAAGCAGCTTTTACTATATTTACATCCAACAAAACTTTGCAGAGAACAATCCTTATTGCACAGGTCAAGGCCATGGACCGGAGAGGCATTTCCCAAGGTGGAGTGGACAAGAAGGATTGGAACTAGAAGAGGCACCAATTCTTCCCAAGGGAAGCTTGGGACTCCTCTGGGTCCCAGTGCATGGCTCTCAAGGAGTTACAAACTTAATTCCCTTCTCTTTCTTATGCTCCTTGAGAATCTAATAAGTGTAGGAGCTGTGGCCTCAGAATAAATAACTAAATAAAATAAAACGCTAGGATTGCCTTGGGCTCCTTTAGCAATGCTAGAGAAGAGAAGTGAGGATGAGACTCCTCCCATGGGGCAAAGGCTCAGGAGCTTGAAATCTTTCCAGTTGTTTTTTTTTTTAAAACAAAAACTTCTAAGTATCCCAGGGCACTGCAGATCTGAGGATACCCTGGGAAGGAGGCCCTGGAATAGAATGGAGAAAGAATGGACTTGTGCCAACTTCCCTAGCTCTCCTCAAAATCAGCATGAACAAATTGGGCAGGCTGGAGATAGGGGAATTGTGACTTTGGGTATCAGTGAGTCCCTCTTCCTGCTATTTCCACTTGGAGCCTATGGCTGAGCAGCCTGATTCAAATTCTTCCATGAAAGGAAGAGGGAGTCAGGCTATGTCTAGAATCCACTCTACCTCTCCTCTCCACCCAAGGCAGAAGAGGGGGGCTTAAGGGTCCCTAGCATTCCAAAGGTGCTCCAAAACATTTTCGACAGTCAATGGCCTTGGGAGTAGGCATCTGTGCCCGCCGCAGCCTCAGCTCCTCCTTGCCCATGCTGCTGGCCAGTTTGTTAAAGGCAGACTTGTACTTCTTGTCGAAGGCCACTAGGGTAGAGGATGGAAATTGATGCATTAGGACCTCCTCTCATGTCTGGTCCCACATCCCTTCTCTTCAGCATCCGATTGCACCTTTACCTATGTCCACGTGGTCCTTGCCCAGAGCAGCCATTGTCAGGAATAAGATCTCACGGTAGATTCCCCTGTAATAAACATAAAAGAGTATCAAAGAAAAGAGGTGCCAAGGCCAGGCCGAGGGCCCCCAGGTGAGAGCATCATACCTCTGCAGGTGCAGGCCAGTGGGAGGGGGCCCTAGGGTTTCCAGCAGGAGCCCAACAGCTTTATGAACCTCGTTAAGTCCAACATGGCGCATCACTGACTCCAGCAATGTCAAGCTAAGACATGAGGGCACTGGGCCTGGCCAGACTACTCGTTGTGGGATCTGGCCTGGATGAAAGGAAGGAAGGGTTACCAGGATCACCAAGCTTTCCAGATGAAGAGCCCGGCCCTTTCACTCCTAGATCAAGTACCAACTCACTGTGGACCCTCCAGAGAACATAGAGAGGTGGGCAGCTGTTGGGATCGGGGGTCAGGACATCCCACAGCAGACGAACATGCACAGAGGCTGGGTCAGGGGTTAGCCTAGGAGATGGTCCCTGGGAGGGCTGAGATAAGAAGAAAAAGTCAGAATGAGGCAGAGGGCAAGAAAAGGACAGATGGACAATGTTCAAAGGAACAGAGGGACATTACAGGACATAATAAAAGAGAAAGGGAAAGAACTTATTTGTGGTGTTATTGGTATTTGAGACAGGGTCTCACTATGCAGAGTAGGCAGGCTTGGAATTCACAGAGATCTACCCCACTATATCTTGAGGAAAGAAATTCTCATCTACCAATTCTTACGAATGAGGACTTCGTTTACTTTATTACATACCTAGCCCTGGGCCCTAGGATATATGATGAATACTGGTGGAACAAACAGGAAAACATTAAGCCATTTTTTTTAGGGATGAGTCACTACATCAAGCACGTATTCCATTAGGTTCCTGCTTATGCCATTTGACAGATGACGACATGGAGGGTCAGAGAGGCAAATGTGCCTGGTAAAATGGTTTTTCTTCACTGCTAAGGACAGAGAGGACTAGAAGACAAAGAGCTGAGAAGGAGGAGGGAAGCTCTCAGGAGACAAGGACTACACAAGGACACTGACCTGGCCGGGTGGGGGCTCATCGCGGGAGGTCAACACCAAGCCTGGTAGAATACTAGGCAGGCGTAGGCGTTGGAAATACCACAGGAGGTTCCAGAAGATGATGGGGTGGGCAGCGGGCAATTCAGGCAATGCCAACACCTCACTGCCTTCATTCTCCACCAGAGACTCCAGTTCCTTCCGCAGTACCAAGGGGCTCAGGTATGCCCATGCCCCTTTCTCAACTCTCCGGGAAGCACTCTGTGGGCAAGCAGGAAAGTGGTCAGAACATATATACTAATGGCCCTCACCCAGAGGTTATCTCCCAATAACTCAGCAAGTCCAAAAGCCTCTTGCATGTCCCTTGTCCACTACCTGGCACCCATTTGATCTCCCCTCAACAGACAACACACTCCCACCTCCTCATGTTCCTCTGGCTCAGCCCTTACCCCCACATAGCCATTGCAGAGCTGGGGTTCATCCAGGGCAAGGCAGAGCCTCCGGTCACTGAGCACAGGGCCGGGACCCCCAGGGACAGGGGCATCTTGACTGCCACTGGCACCAGCAAGGGCAGACTGCGGGCTAGGGGCACTGCAGGGAAACAGCGGGAGGTGTCAGCTCTTTGAGCACCATCTGCCTGTCCCTCCCACAGCGCTTTTTCTGTTTTGGGCACCTGGGTCGAGAATCAAGGGTCTGGACACTGAGCAGGGGCACAAAGGAAGAGGCGCAGAAGGGGCAAGTTGTATTGAGGTTAGAGTCATCAGGTGCCCAGCCAGCCATGATTTCTTCATCGTACACCAGGGAGTCACAGGCACCGCACAAGGAGCAGCTAGACAGCAGAATCTGTGGGCAAGGAGACCCCAAGAAATGAGTCTTATTTGATTCCAGGGCCCCAAAGCCCATGCCCTTCCGTGCCCCTTTCATCTCGAAACCTCAGCCAGGCCTCCTTCCACCTCCTCCCCTTCTCCTGCCTTTGGGAGTGGGTGGATATGAGCTGTGTGTGTTCCAGCACAATGGTGTGGATGGGGTATGCTCACTTCTAGGGAAGGAGGCTGGAAAGGTCCAGGGGTGTCACTGAGACGCTCTGAGGAACGGCGAAGGCTCAGGCTGCTAAGAGAAGACTCTGAAAGATCCCACTCACTGCCCAGAGAGGCGGAACTCTGCCATTACAAGAGAAAGCACAGTCAGCTAGTCCTCTGCTCCTCTCCCTTAGGATGCTGCTTTCAGCCACTCTCAGAGTCACCTTTGGGGGCATTCTCCCAGTCAGCAGCCCTCCTCTCCCTTTCTCATTGGCTACCTCAGAAGCAGTGGATCCAGGGCGTTCTCGGGGCCACAGCAGGCTATCCATGGGACTTCGGCGGGCCGCAGGAGGAAGGTCAGTGGGCAACTCAGGTGGGGGGATGCGGGAGACAGAGGAGCGGCGGGAAGGGGTGAGCAGCTGTTGGAGGCGGGCACCCAGCCCTTTTCTGGGGGTACCCACCTCCTCCTGACAGCCACTAGTTTTGGGACCCCGCCCACTTATCCCTTCTAGGGCCTCAGTGGAGCGGGTACTGAGGGCTGAGCCAGAGCCCCCTGGGCTTCCTCCAGGTGCCAGTTCTTCCCCCGTCAGACTTAGGTCTGACAGACTTCCATCCTGCCAAGGCACAGGTGATCCACGGGGTTCGAGGACCCCCAAGGCCTCTATCACTGCAGGTCAAAGAGAATAGAGAGATGGAGTCCTGCGCTCCTCCCGCTGCTCTACCACAAGTAAACACAACTCCTGCAGTGGAACTCAGAAATCAGGAGCACTGGCTGCTTGCCCTGAGGACCCACATGGCAGCTCACAACCATGTGTAACTCCAGTTCCAGGGGCTCGGATACCCTCCCTGGCCTCCATGAGTACCAGGGATACAGGTGACACACTGATATACATGCAGGCAAACACCCATACACAAACAATACAATGTCTAGAATGCAAACTGTATAAACCAACAAACCCGAGCATCACAACTCACCATAACACTTAGGCAAGATTGCCTCAAGGGCCTATAGGCCCGCTAAGGTACAGGGAGCTGCCCTAAAGACGGCCCCAGTCTCCCTTTCTCTACTGAAGAGTTGTTAGGAGAGTTCAATGGGAGGATGAAGGAAGGTCAGATAAGGGTACTTACTGTGTGCTACACCAGCCTCCACAGTGGGCTGTGCCCCTCGAGCACTGCCTAGGCTGCCACTCTTGACCAGGCGCCCGGTGGGTGAGGATGGCTCCCGCAGACTTCGCCCTGCCCAAGTCGTCTGGCGCTGAAGAGGACGTGTTGGGGAGGGGCGCTCCAGACAGGGTTCTGTAGAAAGCACAGACTGAAGCGGCCCCTTGGGTGGACCTGGGTTTTGCAGGGTTTCTTCCCCATAGAATTTTATCCCTCTGCTACCAAACAAATGCAGGTTATCCACACACAGAAAGGCCTGCCAGGCCTAGTTGTCCGGGTCTCTCCTGGAACTCACTCTGTAGACCAGGCTGGTCTTGAATGCACAGAGATCTGTCCCCCTCTGCCTCAGGAGTGCTGGGATCAAAGGATTGTGCCACCACTACCTCCCCCCATTTTTTTTTTCTTTTAATACAAATTCCCACTATGTATTCCAATCTGGCCTGGAAGTCACTATGTAGCACAAGATGGCCTTGAATTTGCAACAGTCAATCATCCTGTCTTAGTTTCCCAAGTGGCAGGACTTCAGGTGTGAACCATCATGTCTGGCACCGCAGCTATCTGGCCAGTCCCTACCCACCTGTCTGAGAGCTGCCCAACTCTTGATGCACAGCCACCTGCTGCTGCCGTCTGTCTTTCAAGGGCTGGCGGAACTGAGCAGCCCCCAAGACAACATTCCGGAGCTTGGCCCAGCGTAGGCGTCCACCTGGTGTACCAGATGGCCATTTGCTTTCCAGCACAGCCTGTCAATCACAATGCCCACTTAGTGATGCCTTATCTCCCGTCCTGACCCCAGGGACCACCTTTTTCTCTAAACATGCTGGCTAGGACTATCTAGCCAATAGCTCACCCAGAAAGAGAAGCCCCAATTGAGGCATTATCAGTAACAATGGAGTAATGGAGAAAAGTGTATCTAGTCTCTACTATTCATCCATTATCTGTCTGCCTATCTATCTATCTATCTATCTATCATCTATCATCTATCTATCAATCAATTTATCTATCTATCTATCTATCTATCTATCTATCTATCATCTATCGATATAGGGTCCCACTATGTCGCCCTGGCTGCACTGGAACTCACTCTGTAGACCAAGGATGGCCTTGAACTCACAGAGATCCTCCTGCCTCTGCCTCCTAAATGCTGGTATTAAAGGTGTGCATCGTCATGCCCAGCTAGACTCCATTTGTAAACTGAATGCTTTGAAGAAATAATCTCAACAGCTTGACTATTCCTTATCTGAAAAACAGGAGGCAGTTTGTATTATGGTTAAGAGGCTGAATTCTGGATGTAATTTTGCTTATATTCTGACTCACTAACTTGCTTACTGTGGGACTTGGGAAAAATTACAAATTCTCTGCAACCTCAATTCCTGTAATAGGGGGGAATGACCATTCTATGCCCTTGTGGCACTGTGGGGATAAAATAAATTAAAATATGTATCTGGAACAGTGTCTGGCATGGAGTTTAATGCTGTTGTAAATAAGAATCAAAGTAGCTAAATCTGAAAAACCAAAACCCAAAACTAAACAAAAAGCCTTCTGTCTGTGCAAAGGCAACACAAAAGCACAGATGACAGTGACTACAGGACCAGAGAATGGGGACAGCAGCAACTGTCAAAGAACAGCATTCTCTCTAAACCAGGGCCCAGCACAGACTGCCATCCTACCCAAATTAAGTACCTTGTTGTAGTAGCCGTAGGTGATGGTGTTGGGCACAATGCCTGCTCGCCGCATGTCTAGCATGACTTTCACAGACAGCACGGGCTGCCCATAGTGTGAGCAGAGCTGCATCAACACCCGGTAACACACCTAGGCCAAGAGAGGCACAGGATGTCAGGATGTAAGGGATTTACTGCAACCCAAGTCGCCAAGTCTCAGCAAGCACCCTCTTCCAGCCTCCTAATTCTCAGAGGACTCACTGGCTCCCAGCAGCTCCTTTCTGTAGCTCTGGATGCCCTGCGGTCTCCACGGCTTAACCCTGCACATGCTCATGCCCTCTGATTGTGGCAGAGCAGCTCCTCAACTCTGGCTGCCCCTCCACTCTACCCGGTCTCCAGCAAGTTTCCCTCTGTCCCTAGAGCTGCACAGCCTTGCTGGGATTAGGGGTGGGTAGGAAATGCCAACCTCATCAGGGAGCACCACCTTGCGGCTCTCCATCTCACGCAACACGTGGTAGGCTTTGTGCAGGGCTCGCACCCGGGAGGGCGCCGAACGCACATAGGCAGGCAGGCACAGGAACCACAGTCCATAGCAGTGACCTAGTAAGCACCGGGCCCACAGCTCAGGCACAGTGGCTGACTTCTGGGCCATTCGCTGTGCGACCTTCATCTCCTAGGTGGGGCAAGGGAAGACACACCGAACACCGAGGTAAAGACCGTAAAGACCATGCCCCAAGGCCAACACAAATCTTTATTTCTTTATTTCTTTTGGTTTGTTTGAGAAGGGGTTTCTCTGTGTAACAGCTCTGGCTGTCCTGGAATTTGCTCTGTAGACCAGGCTGACCTTGAACTCAAAAAAGATCCCCTACCTCTGCCTCCCGAATGCTGGGATTGAAGGTATATGCCACCACTGCCTGGCACAAATATTTTTTTCTCTTGATATTTTTCTGAGATAGTGTCTTGTCATGTGGCCTAGACTGGATTCAAACACCAGTTCTTGCCTCAACCTCCTGAGTGCAGGACAATGTGAGAAGCGGCACTCTCCTGAGACACAGTCTGTGTTCTAAGGATGTACGAGGGCTGAGGCACTGCCTAACTTACAACCTCCTGGGTGCCTCCGTAGGGCAGGGTAGCCTGGCCCTGGATCATGAGTGGGCACCCTGCAAGATGTAGTCGGCTCCTCCTGATGGCAAATGACACTGGTAACAAAGGCTAGTTTTTGTACAGCATTTTGTTGTTTTTTTTTTTCTTTGTTTGTTTTTGGAGACAGGATCTTACTATGTAGCTTTGACTGTCCTGGAACTCACTACATAGACCAGGCTGGCCTCGAACTCAAAGATCTGCCTTTCTCTGCCTCCTGACTGCTGAAGTCAAGCATCACTATGCCCGGCTGTAGAGTGTGGGGTTTGTTTGTTTGTTTATATACCAAGCTTATGTAAACCACCCAGCAGTTTTATGGGATAAGCACCATTAGTAACCTCATGAAGCAATAACTACTGTACCAGGTCAGGTTCCCCTATGCGGCCTCTTGCTAATTACCTGTTTGGTTCGGCGAGGTGCAGGACTGCTAGGGGCACTACGGGATGGGCCGGGCACAGGCAGCGCTCCCTGTTGTTCCTGAGGAGACTCAAATAGTTCAGCTCTTAGCTCTGGAAACCCATCATAACTGGAGAGAAGAGGCAACATGGGGGCAGTTAGCACAGGGCCAAGCATGGGCCTTGGGGCAGGCGAGAGGAGGAGACAGTCTTACCAGTACTGGGGAGCAGATTCACTGCCTTCCAGTACTGGGGGATCCTCTGGGGGTGTGATGAAGACAGTGAGCTCACTTCCTGAGAGCTCCTCCAGTTCCACTAAGGGTGTTGGCTCAGGCTTCTCCTGCTCTGGGTGGACCTGGAACAGGATGGGAAAAGGATTAGTGTTAACAGAGCCAGGGACCCCAAAATATGGTGTCTCCCAGAAAAACACGTTGATGGGGAAGGAGTCCTGAAGAGCCATCTGGAGGGGAAAAGTCAAGAATGAAAGGACAGTAAAGCAGAAGAAGCCGACCATGTCTGGCTGCACAAGTTGGACTGTCTGTGCTTTGTCTAATTCCAGCTGTCCATCACAGCCACGCTGAGAAACACAGTTAACAGTGGACTGGAGATAACCAAGACAACCAGGAGGAACCCGGTGGCAGTTGGTACATACAGAAGGGACAAGGCTCAATACCTTATCGACACAAGAGTCAAAGAACTCAAGGGCAGCATGGCGGGCAGAGCCAAAAGAGCATTCCTCGATGAACTGTGAGAACATCTGTGTGTGCAGCAGCTGGGAGTACAGCTTGTGGCTCGAGCGTTCCCGGGACTTGAGGAAACCTGGGGGGTCAGGCTGGGTCACAAGGGGGTTACCACAGTTCTCTATTTGCCACAGCCCTCTCCCCCTTGTACCCAGCTCTTAGCTCTCGTCATTCAGGATCTATGGCTCTCAAAGTCACACTTCTCCCGCAGACCAGCTCAGTTCTCCAACACCACAGCTGTCCTTCAACAGACCTGTACCTGACTGCTGCTCCCCACCAGGATCACTACGTCCACCTTACACCAAGGGCTCCCAGACAGCAGGACACATTCACCTGCATGCCCTTATCCTCCAAGACCAGAGGAGGGGAGGAACACTCAGTCTCTCCGCTCCCAAGCTCCCAGTCAGGGTCCCTCTCGCTTTCCTCATGAAGCCCAGCCCCTAACCACGCCCTCCCTCAATCTCTTTACAAAGACAGGCTGTCTTATTTACCCTGAAGGTAGAAAAGGTTGTCGACATCACGAGACCCCTCAGAGGGGGCCTCGGTGAGGGGACGCAGGAAGTCCCTGTAGCCTTTGAGCAGACAAGCCATGAAGCGCAGAAAGGCTCCCTGGACTTCCCGCTCCAGGCGTGTCCGGCGGCCACACACTGCCTCGTAGTCTGTCAGCAGGAATTCCAGAGAGGCCTCCTCTTCTGGTCCAGTGTAAGCTGGGAATCAAAACATCTAAGAGTCAAGGTTAGCACCCACAGGGCTGGCCTCATCCTGTTTTTCACACAGATGTCTTCATCCCCAAAAACATTTTTCTCTGCTCCCCTCCCTGCCTCTCCCCTCCAACCCTCTCCCAAGGTTCTCATGCTCCCAATTTACTCAGGAGATCTTGTCTTTTTCTACTTCCCATGTAGATTAGATCCTTGTACGTCTCTCTTAGGGTCCTCATTGTTGTCTAGGTTCTCTGGGATTGTGAATTGCAGGCTCACCTTTCTTGATGGGCTCAGAAATGCTGCTCCCCTGCCCCTCCTCCTTTATTTCACTCCCACCAAACCCAACTCCTCTAATCACTTCAGAGATCTATTGGTCCCTGGACTCTCCCCTCAGTTTGGAGATTGGAGGCCAACAACAGCCTCCAGCCTCTCAAGCCCATAGGCTTCTCACTCTGGTCCAGCTGCTGGTACAGATTCGTCAGTGTGGCCAGCAAAAGCTTGTATGGTCTGCGGGGCAGGGTCCTAGCAGAGAGGGGCTTCTTCTCCTCCGTTCTAAGAGATAACATAAGGAGAAAGGATAATGAAGCTTCTACGAGGTCTTTTTTGAGCCAACATGAACTCACACACCAGCCCTTGCATGCTCTCCTCCCTCGCCCACAAATGATACTTAGCCTCATACTGGAAGAGTGTGTTGGTATCGAGATCAACACAGATGACATCAGGAGGTGGGTCGTGCAGATCGAAATAACTGGAGTGGATACCCACAATGAAGGGCACAGGGGCGCTCAGCACATCCGCCAGCACCAGCGGGCACAGCGGAATGTAGGGGCACTGCCAGTGCAGTGGGAAGATCATCTAAAGCACCAACCAGTGAGAACCAGTGAGCACAGGGCCCTGACCTTGAGGAGGTGGGGCTAAGCCTGAAGAAAACCCCGGCTCTAACAACCACACCCAGACAGAGACCGAGGACCCTCTCCCTAAGGCGAGAAAAGGAGAAGAACCCAGGTCTGAATGAAGGGACACCAGAAAAGAGCAACTTTGGAGAAGTAGACTAGATAAGATGGCACTCACTGAGACAAGGGCCTCGCAGACACTGGTGAGCAGATCTGGCCGCAGCGAGTGGACCAGCAGTTTGTGCTCCGTGAGCACAGCCAGCAGCAATGTAATAGCCAATTCTGGGCCCAGGTTCTGCAGCAGCTGCAGAAAGCTAGCACCACTGTGGGACGTGAAGGGAGAGAAGGATCAGCAGGAGACTCGGGAGCTGGACACAGATGCCACTGGGGCCAGTCTGCCACGGTCTCAGCAGCCGTACCCATACCTCTTATTATACCCATGTCGCCAAAGCCCCCCCCCCCCCAATTTAGGCACATACCTGAGAGGCAGGGGTGAGGAGACAGGCTGACAGAGGAGCAGGTTGTCATAGGGAGACATCTGGAGAGGAGCCACAGGTCAGGATACTCATGGCCAGCTCCTGCCGACTCCTCTCCTTCCATCAGCCCAGCCCCAGGCTCACCTCTCACCTGCACTAGGATGCGTGGTCTCTGTGGGGAAGGGAACGGGACGTTGTGAATGAAGTGGGAGATGTGCCTAGGGAGAGAGGGAGAAGGTGAGGCTGACTCCTCAGTCTGTCCCTGACCAATCCCACCACATATTCTCAAGACCTCACTGCTCCCTGAACCCCGCCCCTTGTCTTGGATCAGCTTTATACATAGGTCTTACTTAGATTAGAAGAGCGATCCCCTTGCCTGAAATCCCCTCATCTACACAATGAGTTCCAGGCCAGCCAGGGCTACCATGGGAACATCTTTAAAAAGAATAAAAAAATAAATAAACTGAGGCAGAGGCAGGCGGATCTCTGTGAGTTCGAGACCAGCCTGGTCTACAAGAGCTAGTTCCAGGACAGGCTCCAAAACCACAGAGAAACCCAGTCTGGAAAAACAAAACAAAACAAAACAAAAAAATTTAAATAAATAAATAAACTGGGCGTGGTGGAGCACGCCTTTAATTCCCACGCTCAGGAAGTCACCTCTGTAACTTTGAGGCCAGCCCGGTCTATCTGGAGTTCCAGGCCACCTGGGGCTGGAAGTAAATAAACAGCAAGTCCTGTTTCATAAGTAAATAAACAAATAAATAAAATTAAGAACAGATCTGTGCTGAGCTTACATAGACCTAGCCAAGCCCCAACAACAAGTGTAGGCTAGATTTCAGGCTCCACTTACCCATAGCCAGTAGCTTAAATGGACAAACTATATAACAAAACAGAGCAGCCCTGTCTCCTGGGGGCTCAGTGTACCCCCAATTCCATTCTAGTGTCTCCCATTTATCCTCTCTAATGCCTCACAACTCCTCAGTGTCAGGAAAGCCATGCTCACGCTTCCAAGGGCAGACGGTGGGGGCCTGAGACGGAGTAGCGGTAAAGAAAGGTGAGGAAGGCTCTGAAGGCTGGGAAGGCTGGCCAGCGGGACAGCACAGCAATGGCGCGCCGGCTGCGCACGGCTCGGCCTCCCAGTGCCCGGCCCCGTTCCACGGCACTCAACAAGCCCAGTGCCCGTGCCTGCCTCTCTGACAGCCTGGCTCTCGGGAACGCTTCATAGAACTGCAAGGCGGCACCATACACCTGGCAGGGGTATAGGGATGATCAGACGGGTTCTTGTATTGTGAGGCCTCCGTACCACACCTCACACACCCACCTTATCACCGGCAGCCCCTGTGAGCACAAAGGTGGAGAAGACGGGCACCGGGTACTTGGTCTGGGCAGGCCAGCACTCAATAGTGGCTCCCATGGGCAGGCAGAAGACTGGCACTGACTCGGGCAGCGGGAATGCCTCATTGTCTTCCTGTGGGTAGCGGCCCAGCAGCTCTGTACCCCAGCAGAAAAGCACACATTAGAGTGAAGCGATCCATTAGATTCCAAGTAAAGAAACTAGAGGATCCCAGAGAAGGGCTAGATGGCAAAGGGAAGTCAGTTCTGGGGTCACTGAACTTACCAAGAGGCACCATGGAGGGTCAAAGGATAGGAAGGACAAAAGGGCCACTCACCTGCCTCATACACCAGCGTGTTGGCCTTGGCCAGGCCCACCTTGTAGCACAGGTACACTGCTGGGCCCCACTGCCCCAGAAATGACAAGAGATAAGTAGACACATCACTAACAAAGGTTTCTGGGGCCCATCTTCTCTCTCTACCACCCTTTGGATGTCTTTTGTCTTCCACGCTGCCCCTAATTCCAGTCCTCCCAGCCAAGCCACCTCTCATTTGGCTCTGGTGTCAGTGGCCTTGGTTCCCAAATACCCTTTGTTCCCCATGTCTACACCCTTACACCAATGGCCCAGGTTTTAGCTATCAATACCGAAGTACCACTCACCATGCCAGGGTTGAGGTTGCGTGGCAACCGGCAGTAAGTGTGAGGAGTGCCCTCACCCTTGCTGGGAAGAACCAGGCAAAGGTCAGTGATGCCCAGGGCATGCAATCCTGCCCCCTCTGCTGCCCGCCGGTACATGAGGTAGGTGCGAGGATGCCCAGGGCCTGGAGGGGCCAAGTTGGCTGAGTGACTATATGGTGTCGTGTCAAGCACTTGGAAGCCAGGTTTAGGACGTTCCTTCCCTTCATATAACACCCTTGGCACAGAGAGCACAGACATCAAGAGGTCAGCATAGAAAGACCAGATCTACCTACCTGCTCTCCTAAACTTGCCATGTTCTCTCACCCTTGTCAAAGGCTAGTAGTACAGCCCACTTTACTCTGTCTTCTAGGATCCTTACCTTTACCTCTCAATCAATAACCATCCCTGCAAGCCATGCCCTCCCCGAGTGCTGGGATTAAAGGCATGAGCCACCACCACCCGGCTGCCCTTCCCAGTTCTTGAGTAAGCACCAAAACTGTCAGACTCTTGGCAAAGTTCCTCACAAGGTTTATCCACTTGATATCCCAAACCAGCCAGTGAGGAGTTGCTAAAGAAGCACTCATTGGCTAGTAAGCAGCAACGCAGGCAGTAAGCCCCTCCTCTCAGACCTCTAGCCCATCCCACGTGCCTCCTCTCAACCATTATCACCTCTTCTTAGTTCACTCAACAGTCCCTCCCAGCTCCCCCCAGTGCCAGCATGGATAGGGGTACACACCCCAGCTCAACGAGGGGGGGCTTGTCACGCCCCCTGCGGTAGCAGATGACTGGCTGAGTTCCACCCAGGAGCCCGGCACTGAGCTCCAAGGGGTGGCCACCAGCAGATGTCTGGATGCACGTGTAGCCCTGGGGCACCTCCTCGCCCAGTGCTCTAGCAATGACTGCCACATCTGTAATAGGTTCCGCTGGCCTAGGAGGGCGCCTGGGCCCAGTAGGTTCAGGAACCCAGGTCTCCTCAGGCATAGGTGATCCATCTCCTGCAAGCCCAGCCACCACGAAATAATCCACCAATCGGGGAGGCCGCTCCTCAGCCATGGCCCCCCCTTCACTCACGGCATCTGGAATGGTCAATTGAGAAAAAGATGAAGCAAGAGAGGCTAGTGTTCCCATGGCAACCAGAGGCTAGTGTTCCCATGGTTCCCACGGACCCCCGCCCCTTTCCTCTTCCTAGTTCTTCTAAGGAAAGGTAGATGATCAGCCAATCCTGATCTCTCCCACCTGTGACATCACCAGACTCTCACATCCCACCACGGCTCCTTAGAGACCACTAGGTCCCTCCTTCTTAGTGACATCAGCTCCCTCTTCCCAAAGAACCCAAACTCCACTCTACAACACACAAATGCCACTGCTCACCTAGCCCTTTAAAGGCCTGCCCCTCTTCACCCCTCCAGTTAGATCTCAGAGAACACAGTGTTTTCTGTAAAGGCCTGAAGTCCCATCATTCACTCTGGCCACCCCAACCTTAACTTAGTCTTTTCACAGGTCTCTGGCCTTCCTGCTCTGGTAGCAACTCCACAAGAACCTTCTGACACGGCTAATGCTCTTAAATCACCATCCTCACATTTTTAGAAGACCCCACAGGTTTCTGGGAAGGCTTGTAAAACCCAAGATTTAGATTCTGTTCAGACTTCAAGTATCCTTTTCTTTCCTAGCTTAACTTTACCAAGTTGGCCAAGCTCTCAACTCCAGACCCTTAGGTGTCTGTAAGTTAGGTACAAAGGGACTATGGGAGATAGCTCCAGCCATTCCATGCCAATGCCACCCAGACCCAGACAGAATCAGGCCCACAACAGCCTACTGGTAACTTTTCTCACCTGCCTTCATGGCCTGACCCTGAGGAGTAGGAGCCCCAAGAGTCCTGAGGTGCCCCAGGGTACTGAAGGTGGGAAGAAGCCTGGTGGGTGGCTTGCAAGGGGCTAGAGGCTGGGAGAGTGCTTCAGAGGGGAAGGGAGGTTACTTCCTGGAGCGGGTGCAAAGGGGAAGCTGCAGCTCAGCAGAAGTCAGCCTATGGGTGTGTGGTAGCGATGGGAGGGGGAGAGCACCGCGGAAGATGCCCGCAGAGCATCAGACCAAGGCAAACCCCACACTGAGAACCCTGGGCAAGGCAAGGGAAACTCCCAACGTCTCCAGGATGCATAGTCTATTCAACCTTCCTCAGAGAACCGGAGCCAAGTCAGCTCTCTTCTTAACCTGGCCTCTGGACACACATGCCCCAACTCAAGCTAAATTTAGCTTGAGCTTCTCCACATCTGAGGTGAAGCCAGGAGTCAGCGTCAGCCTCCTGATTTAACTCCACGACTCAGCTCCCTCTCTCATCCACTGTAGGCCAAAAGGAGCTCTGTGCCCCCAGTCAGCAGGCAAAAGCCGTTAGATGAGACCCTCTATAGTTAAGTGGGTGGCTCCGGACCAACAGGACTTGTGCATACAAGCCTACCCTCACCTAGCCAGGAGAGAGTCCTATAAAATGCAACCCCTTCACCCTTGGGGAAAACAACGGCAGTGGAACCACACTAGGTCCCAGCACCCACATGCCGGATGTCGGGAAGTCGGGGCTGGGGCAGAGGGCGCGCAGCGGGGGAGGTGGCTGAGCAAGGGGCCAGAGGGCCGAGAGGAGCGCGCGCAGGCTGCCGAGAACGTGACGGCAGCAGCGCCAGCAGCCGCGTGACCCTAGCGGGAAGGAGGGGTGCTCTGGCTTGAGCGCCCGCGGGAGCTCCAGAGTATAGGGTGCCGGGCACAGCTAGCTAGCTCCGGGTGGCGCCCTCCCCTCCACTTTCACTTCCCTGGGAGGGAGGAAGCGGAACCAGATGCGCAGCGCAGAACAGCTGGGGACAGTCCCTGGCGCCGACCGCCCTCCGCCCGCCCTTCCCCGCCCGCCGCCCCGCCCGGTCCGGCCCCTACCTGCCTGCCCTGGGACTCCCCAGCCGGCCCGCTGGCGGGTGGCTTGGAGGGCGGGCTGGCGGGCCGGCGGGCAGCCGGGCTGCTATCCAGCCCCGGACATGGCGCGCTCGACTTGGGAGCCGCTCGCGCCTGGGCTGAAGGAAGATGAGGCGGGCGAGACCGCCGGGCACGGTGGAGAGATCTGGGCGGTCCCAGCGTCCCCGCGCGGCGCCACGCGGGGACTGCTGCCGCGCCGCTAGCTCCGGCCGCGCGGTCCTCCGGCTGTCCCGGTGCTGGGGACCCCGCGCTCTTCCGCGCGCCCTGCTTTCTCCACTCACCCCTCCAACCCGAGAGCCGCGAGCACCGCCGCTATTCCACCCCCCCCCCCACCCGGGCCCGCGGCCGTGACCCTGGCTAGCTCCAGCCCAGCACCCTGCCGCCTGCAGCGCGACCCCTGGTGGCTGGGAGGGCCCCCTGCAACCAAGCGGATCCCCACCACCCAGCGGACGAGCAAGACACTGACCCTAGGTGGCCCCCAAGTCAGAGCCGGTGCTCCCGTCTTGCCCTCCGTCCAACGATCAGATGTGGCCACTGTGCCACGGTGAAGGCCCTGAAGACCTAGACCTGGAAAACCCAGGTGACTCCCCACTTCCAGGTTTAGAACCCACTAGACAGAGCCAGAAATTCTCAGTTCTCCTTTCGAGAAATGACAAGAGCATTGAAAAAGAGGAAGAGAGGCAAGAAGCCGAATAGAGGAGAAAATAGTGGGGGAAAGCAGCACTCCTTTCAACCATGCTGGGTGAAGGCTGACAAACCTACATTAAACGGTTGTCTTTCAAGTGAGGTGGGTGAGTTCATATACAATAATGCCCTGGGAACATGGACCAGGGGAGCCAGCTAGACCTACTTCCTTGGAGTTTACGGTTATACTGGGAATAGCTACCCACAAGAGTTGAGGTTATTATACCAGAAACACACGTGACCGGGGCGACAGCCATCTCCTTACCCCAGGCCTGAGGTTGAGGAAGAATAACTTGTCTGGCCAGTCAGGGTGCCCCCTCCCCTGGACAAACATGAGGGCACATAAAGGTGACTTCCTGCTGCCATCGGTGAAGTCTGTTTTGGCTCTAGGACGCGTCCAATTTGGGTCACAAATCTAAGGCTGGTGGTCCTCCACAAACCATAACAGCCTTGAAAAGATGAAAGCGTGCCTATAATCCTGAGCACTCAGGAAACCGAGGCAAGAAAATCAGGCAGAACTTCCAGGTAGCCCGGAATATGTAAAAGAAATCTGCCTCAGAAAAAAAAAAAAGCTGGGCAGTGGTGCCTTGGTGGATCTCTGAGTCTCTGAGTTCCAGGCCAGCCTGGCCAGAGTTGTTAGAGAAACTGTCTCAAGAAAAGAAAAAAAAAAGGAAAAGAAAAAATGGGTTGGAGAGATGGCTCAGTGGTTAAGAGCACTGACTGTTCTTCCAGAGGACCTGGATTCAATTCCCAGCACCTACATGGTGTTCACAACTGTCTGTAATTCCTGTTCCAGGTGACCCAACACCCATAGGAAAATATCAATGCACATAAAATAAAAATAAATTAATTTTAAAAAAGCAACATAAAAGAAGAGTTTATGGCATCAACCCTCCATAGGGCCCAGCTACCTACCAAACAGCCAAACACACAAAAGGTTTGTTAGGATTTTTTATTAACATATAATATATTTAATAAAAAATAATATCCACTCTGGCTCTCTCCTCCATTGCAAGGGGAAGAGAGATGGGGAAGGGCTGGTAACGCTCACCCTCATCTGGACAAGCCCTACCTCCAAGAGTCCCCTCTACGCCTTGATTTCCAACAGGCTCTGCCCTCCAGACAGACGGTTTTCAAAGTTCCAAGTGCTGCAGCCTCCCTTGAGCCCCAGGCCCACCGATGTACAGTACTCTGTACAGTACAGGAGCCACCTGCTCAGGCCCCTTCCCTTTCCTCATTTTTAGGATCCTTCATTCATATTAGAAAAAGGATCTGGGGGCAGAGAGTAGTCTCTACTGGCCAGGGGGAAGGGATGAAAAGGACAGTGATGGGGACAGGGCCATGAAGAAGGACGGCAGTAAAGTCCCCTCACTGTAGCCGGTCACTACGGAATGAATCTTCCACAGCAGGGTCAGGCAGCAGGGCACAGGGGTCACTCAGCATGGTCAGTCCTTCCAGGCCCAATGGCTCCATGCGCAGCTCATCTTCCAGCCCCAGCCCCAGCTCCAACCCAGATGCTGACACCTCAAAGCCAGGTACTCCAGCCAAGGCTGCTGCGATCTCCTTAGAGAAACCTGGGGAGGAGTCTCCTGTGTGTAGAAGAGGTAGGCAGGTAGGTAAGGATCCCATGCCATACACCTCCAAACCCCTTAGTCTCCTACCACACCGGTGAAGCTGTCAATTCTTCCAATCTTCTCACCTGGGAGTATGATATTGGGTCCTGAGCCATGGCGGGAGCAGTGGGTCAAGTTCTGGTGGTTGAGGATATGAGGATCCTGGGGACCACTCACTGATCCCTCACTCCCTAAAAATCCAGGCCCTTCGGGAAAGGCAGGGGGATCCAGCACCAGGCTGGTTGATGGGTTCTCCACGTTGAACTGCTCCAGCTAGGGACACACAGACAGACCTTAAGGAAGTGAGCTTCAGAACAGGGTGTCCTGCCTTACAAGCCCCAACCACCCCAGGAAGAAAAGCAAAGACAGAGGGAGGTGACAGCAAGCAGAGCAACAGAAGCGAGCACGGGGCCCGAATTACGTGTGGGCACCGTACCTGCTGGGCCAGAGCATGTGCATGCCAGGAAGAGAACGGGTCAAGGCAGGAGTCATCAAAGAGCAAGCTGAGCGGAAACAGAGGGGCAGGAGTAGGGGGTCAAACACAGGAAGACAGGAGCCCCAAGCTGGCAGTGCTATGTTACCTGGGGGGAAAAGGAGGTCCCACCCCATCTCCCGATTCAGTGCACCCGAGACCCCTCACGTTCCTGGCCCTCCCTCAGCCCCCCCACTTCAGAGCTATGAGTCTGTGTACTCACACTCCCCAAGCTGAAGTCATTTATTGGCCGGTGGTAAGGCTGTTGCCCATGCCCGCCGGGCCCAGGTGGGTACAGTGCCCCATAATGTGGCGGCCTGCCTGGGGGCTGTCCCCCTGAGGACTGCACTACGCAGGCCTGAGAGGGCAACTGCTGTAGAGATTTTGGGGTGGATGGATGGGTAGGTATAACCAGACTTGGGGGGCTATATGGGTATGGGGGCAATCGCTGATCAGTAGGCAGTTTACTGGTATCCAAGGGGACGCCCTGAAAAGAAAAAAAGGGGAGAATTTATTGTGACCCCTCAAAGACTCTCAGTCAGAGCTCCCCACCCTCTAAGCTAGGCCACCTGTCCACAACACAAACATGGCAGTGCTCCGAGCCAGGCGCACTGGGGCAACGCCTGGAAAACCAGCACTCAGGAGCTTGAGGAAGGAAGACTGAGCCTGGACCTACCATGCTGAAAGTGGGAGCTGTCTCCCCACTCTCACCCCAAAAACAACAACACCCTATGCTCCCATGGCATTCTAGGAGTTGGTGGAAATGATACAAAATGCATATCAAAACTTAGATGCTAATGCGGCTAACAATAGACAACTCAAATTCACTCTAAAGTGAGCGTTCATAAACTGGGTATTTGACTATCAGGAGGATGAGCTGCTGTTCTGAAGCCCTGGAGAGGCCAGAGGGAGCCAGAGGAAGGAAGTAAAAGAGATGCGGAGGGCAAACTGCCCTTGTTGGCACGGCTAGTCCTCCCTACCAGAGAGTGTAAAGATGGAACACAGAGCATACATCCAGGAAACAGTAATGGAGCAGGACAGAGGAGGGCAGAGAGGAAAGGAATAGGATGAAGGAAAAGTTGGAGAACTATTTTATTTTTTTTAAGATGGAGAGGGAGGGAAGAACTCCCTTAGCATGGAGGCAAGCTTGACAAGAAAAAAGAAAAGAAAGCTTGGCATGGGAGGTCATGCCTGTAATCCAAGCTCTTAGAAGGCAGAGGCAGGAAGGATCAGATGTTCCAGGCCAGCCTCAACTAATTAGTGAACTCAAGCCCAGATGAGCTACATGAGAGAGAAACTGTCTCAGCCACCTCTTCATCACTTGCTGTGTAAACCTTGGGAAGTGATTGTCACTGCAGGCACCAGGTTTTCATCTACACAATGTGAAAGGACTGAGTTCTGTGGTCGGAGATTCTTGGACTCTGAATTCTAGTAAAGAAGAAGAGGAAATGGTAGAGGGATGGGACAGGACAGAAGTGACTGGGGCTATGGTGAACTAGCAAAGAGGAGGGAGATAAGAACAAAGAAAGGAGAAGGGCAAATGGGTAAGCTACACTGGTGCTTGTGCTATGCGTGATGGTAAATACTTTGTGTATGTTATTGTATCTGGTGCTTACAAAACCACCTTTGTTTTCTAAATGAGACTGCTGAGGCTCAGAGAAGTTCAGTAACTTCTGAATGGAGGAAAGTCAAGAGGCAGAACTAAGATGTGAAATCAAAGGCTTAATGCCAGAGTTCGCACTCTTAGGCAGAGGGGACAAGATAGATAAACGATGGGTTGGGACAGAGCAGAGGAATGGAAGGGGATGGAAGAGACAAGGGGCACAGCACAGGAAGGAGAAGAAGGGAAACAAATGCAGGGGAGGTAGCCACGCATACCTGAGTGATGGAAGACAAGGTGGGTGACATTGTTGGCGAAAACTGTTTGGGCAGCTGCTGTTGGGACCTTCTGGCGTCGGCTGGGCCCGCGGGCAAGCTCAGGGGGCTGAGGGGCACACGGCGGTGGCGGGGAGAGGCCCCAGGAGTAGAAGCTGGGTAAGGGGGGGCGCTCAGGACAGGAGATGAAGTGGACGAAGAGGAAGAGGAGGAGGAAAGGGCTGGGGCACTAAGTGACGGGTGGCCCAGGGAAGTGGTGGGCAGTGCATGGTGGGCCAAGGAGGAGGCAGGCAGTGATGGGTGACTATGGGACCCCTGGAGCTGGGGTTGAGGACTGCTTAGGGAAGCCTGGAGGTTGGGATTACTTAGGGAGGACTGCAGGGATGGGTGGCTAAGAGGTGAGTGAAGTCCTGCAGACACAGACAAAAAACCAGAGATGCCAACATTACTGATGGGAACTGGGCCCCTTTCCACCCAGAATGGGTAGCAGTGACCAGACTATGGCAACACAAGGTCCTCCCTATTCTGTCTCTAACAGTGAGATTGGCACTACCCATTTGGGGGTTATTCTCCATCTTTCTCCTATCCATTCTTGCTGGGTGAAAATTGCAATGAGGGGTTCTGTGGTGTGGGGATTGATGGGCAGTCACAGGATCCCAGATCAAGCAAGC